GTTTTGTGGAACATTCACATAAGGTTGTGTCATCGGAGGATGGCAGGGGTGTGGGGATAGCTTCTAGGAAGAAACGGAAAGCTCTGTAGAACTCTGAGCAGTTGATTGCGTGGCTGCCCTGGTAGCTTGATCAAATACCTGCCGATCGGAAATAATTGCAGACAAGCTTGACAGAGCGTAAGGAACAACGCTGCGTTGACCAGAAAGGTGTCGAATACCTGTCCAAAATTGGGTTCTGAAGTCCAGCTGACGACCTCACGCGTTGAGTATCGAGCTGAGTGTTTTAGAAAGGCGAAAGTTAAGGGCATATGCTCAGCGAAGATGACAAATGAGTTACCTGCGTGGACGTGTCGTAAGTACCGGATCGACGAGTACACAACCCACCGTTCTTCGCTGAATGTACAGTGCTTCAATTCTGCCGGTGGCAAGCGTCTCGAATAGAAAGCAAGTGGCTTCCAACCTCCGTTAGTCATTTGCTGTAAGACCACGCCAATAACCGTGCTCGATACATCGACGATAAGGCTAAACGGCACATTGGCTTCAAAATTATGAAGCATAACTGAGGCGGTTAAAGCAGCTTTACTGGCATTGCAAGCTATAGTAGCGGCGGGAGTAAGTTCTACGACCCGTACTTGCGACCACGGAGTAGGTCGGTCGGTAGGCTGAGTAAGTCATCCCAGTGCGGAAGAAAGCGCCGATACTAATTGAGCATGCCGTTAAAACGGCGAATGACAGCTACCGTTTTAGGTAGCGGAAAGTCATGGATAGCTTAGGCCCTGTCGTATAAAAGCACCGTGCCATGTTGGTGAACGCGATGACCGAGGAATACTATAGACTGCTGCTGAAAGGTACACTTCTCTGGATTGACGGTGAAACTACTGGCAGCGAGTCTGTCAAAGAGGATTGGGAAGTGCCCTTGCTGAGTCTCCTCAACTGCGCTGGCTACCAAGCTATCATGGATTTAGGGATGTACGCAGTATATGGCACGGGTGCCGGACTCTATAAAACCCTGACATGTTTGCGCTGCGTTGCGCAAACCAAATGGCATGCGAAAAAATTCGAACAAACCAAAAGGTGAAATGACCGCGGTTTTAGCTATGTCTTCCTCTGCGACCGGGATCTGGTGGTAGACGCGTACCAGAACAATTTTCGAGAACACACGGGCACGACGTAGGTTAGCCGTTATGTCTAGAATGTGGGGCATGGGAACGGTTACGTTGTTCAGAGCATGGTAGTCACCACATGGACGCCAGGCTCCTGACTTTTAGGCACTGTGAAGCGGTGACGCCAACGGGCTTTTCGAAGGTCCAAATATACCTAGTTCGAGCATGTGTTTGAGTTCGACTTTAGCTATACGAAGTTTCACAGGCGTAAATCGTCTGGTCATAGCAAAAACTGGCGGTCCTTTCGTCAGGATATGATTTTTCCCGGCAGCAGTTGCGGCGGATATCGGAATGGCTGAACGAAAGACCCGGGGAAACCGGTCGAGGAGCATTCGCCCGATGGGTGGGCACATCTGAGTCGTGTATATGGGACTGGTTGACTAAGTATCGGTCAAAGTCCAAATGACAGACAGACTGGTTAAACGGTCGAGGAGACAGTGTTGCTTCTTAGCTACAAGCAAGTCATAGTGCTGCAGAAAAGCGAGGCCGAGCGTGGGTGTTTGAACGTCTGCAACGAGAAATACCCATTTAAAAGATCGTCGTAATTTAATCTTAGGCGTGCGCAAACGTTGACCATACACTCAAAGGTTGGTTCCGTTAGCTGCGCTCAATGAGTAAAGCACCTAAGCCGAAACGTCAGTGAGCTCGTGTAGCATAAAGTTAACTTCTGTGACTGTGTCAACTCTCTCGCCTAGTCCCGTTTTCCGGTCGATAGCGAAGAAAAGGAGACTGCCATGATCAGCGATGTTCGTTACCCTAACTTGCTGGTCGGTCCGTTTCCCTGCGTTTGGCGCTTACATAAACAAGAGGAACGGCACGATCTGGCTTGCAGACCGAATCGCTTGTGATACCAGCAATGGGATGAGTTAGGCGGCGACTGCGAAGAGGATCGAAAACGGGTTCGGCCTTTCGGACGAGCGCGGCCATTATATACAGAAACTGCAGTGACTTCAAGTCGTGTAATAAGCTCAGCCCTCCGCGTCCAGATTTCCGCTAACTCAGCACCAGAGTTCGATGGGATCCGCGAAACTTGGGCGTAGGATTCTCAGATACGGCCGGCAGTGTCAGCCAAGAGAGATAATGGAGCATCGTTATTATCGGAAAGCACTTGCCATATTTCACGCGGTCGTCGTTGTAACAACATCTCCCGGAGAAACTCGTCGGCTATAGAGGTGGGTTTAGCTAGGCTCAGCATTTGTCTAAACAACTGAGGCGGCTTAAGATCACCGAGCTGGGTTTCGCTTAAGGCTTTTGTTACTAGTTGTCGGTCGGACAAGCCTGTTCTTTTTAGAACTGCGGCTTCAATTGTTTTATAATTTTGCGTATCCTCGGGCAGATCTGGATCGTCACCGTGGTCGTCGATAACATGCAGACGGAGCGCGCCTACGACATGGTGGAACCTAATGGAACCGGACATAATACGACGTAAAAGGAATGGCGATTCTATCTGCGAGAACCAGGCTTTAGGAAAAGTATCGGTGTGTATTATTGGTGTAGTATCTAGTAACTTATTCACGATGGTCGTTGCCGTCCCCCGTAGCTCAGTGGTCTCAACCACGGACTGGCAACAGTCGAGTTGCGGTTTCGAGCCCTACCAAGGGTCCGATGGAATGCGCACTGCTGATGATTCCCGAAAGGATGAAACGCGCGTACAGTGCTTTTCCGGGCTTGTGGCGGCTGTCTGAGTGAGCCTAGATGTGATGAAATTCTACCTATACCATTCAACTCCCCCTACTACTCTTCTGTAATCAGTACACAGAACAAACTGCTTATAATGCCATAAGATAATTGGCGGCTTAAGTTTGTTAAGCTCGTCGCTTGGTGAGGGGGCTACCCTGTCCTCTGCACGGTAGTAACGTGTAAGTCAGTGGATAGTGAGCGGCGCTATATCACATCTAGTAACTTATTCACGATGGTCGTTGCCGTCCCCCGTAGCTCAGTGGTCTCAACCACGGACTGGCAACAGTCGAGTTGCGGTTTCGAGCCCTACCAAGGGTCCGATGGAATGCGCACTGCTGATGATTCCCGAAAGGATGAAACGCGCGTACAGTGCTTTTCCGGGCTTGTGGCGGCTGTCTGAGTGAGCCTAGATGTGATGAAATTCTACCTATACCATTCAACTCCCCCTACTACTCTTCTGTAATCAGTACACAGAACAAACTGCTTATAATGCCATAAGATAATTGGCGGCTTAAGTTTGTTAAGCTCGTCGCTTGGTGAGGGGGCTACCCTGTCCTCTGCACGGTAGTAACGTGTAAGTCAGTGGATAGTGAGCGGCGCTATATCACATCTAGTAACTTATTCACGATGGTCGTTGCCGTCCCCCGTAGCTCAGTGGTCTCAACCACGGACTGGCAACAGTCGAGTTGCGGTTTCGAGCCCTACCAAGGGTCCGATGGAATGCGCACTGCTGATGATTCCCGAAAGGATGAAACGCGCGTACAGTGCTTTTCCGGGCTTGTGGCGGCTGTCTGAGTGAGCCTAGATGTGACGAAATTCTACCTATACCATTCAACTCCCCCTACTACTCTTCTGTAATCAGTACACAGAACAAACTGCTTATAATGCCATAAGATAATTGGCGGCTTAAGTTTGTTAAGCTCGTCGCTTGGTGAGGGGGCTACCCTGTCCTCTGCACGGTAGTAACGTGTAAGTCAGTGGATAGTGAGCGGCGCTATATCACATCTAGTAACTTATTCACGATGGTCGTTGCCGTCCCCCGTAGCTCAGTGGTCTCAACCACGGACTGGCAACAGTCGAGTTGCGGTTTCGAGCCCTACCAAGGGTCCGATGGAATGCGCACTGCTGATGATTCCCGAAAGGATGAAACGCGCGTACAGTGCTTTTCCGGGCTTGTGGCGGCTGTCTGAGTGAGCCTAGATGTGATGAAATTCTACCTATACCATTCAACTCCCCCTACTACTCTTCTGTAATATATATATATATATATATATAGACAGATAGAGAGAGCTTTAAACCGCATTTACCATTATTACACATACACACCGCTTTATCTATCCATTAGCGAGCAATCTCTTCATCATATACATTATATGGTTACCAAAGCCAATTGCAAGCTGCAATAGAAATCAATCCAAACTACCATAAGCCAGCTAGTGAACGCCGACTCCCCTATGTCTTGCAACATTAGCAATACCTTCTGCGAATGTACTCTTCTATGAAATAAATGCCGAGGACTTACATTAACCGTATTTTACACTCCTTTTCATTTTTAACGCCTTACTTAATGTTATATTTCAACTTTTACAGTTTTA